TATTGCTGCATTAATTGAACATAATTTATTTAGTTACATAAAAGCTTGTGAACGGAAAACGTAGTGGCGATCAGTACACAAATTCATATGTTAACTAATTATACCTATATTGTAATATATTATAATATAGGTAATTATACCTATATTATATGTAATATATTATAATATAGGTAATTATACCTATATTATATGTTATTGGCCTCGTGTAGAGTGTTATTATAGGTTCTTCTGTGGCCAGTAAAAATTATACGGTAGCTTAATAACACGGTAAATAGTGGTGATTGCCGTATGATATTTGTAGTGGCTGCCACTATACTCGTGTAGAAGCACTTGTATATAACTCGCTTCCTGGTAAATGTGACGTTAAAGCAACGTTGATTACGTCTTGATTTCTTTGAAAACAACGTTGATTCCGTCCTGATTTCTTTGAAAAAAAGTTGATTGCATCTTGATTTTATTAAAACAACTTCCGATTAAGTCTTGATTTCTTTGAAACAACGTTTAATTAAAGATATTCCAGCGTTTTATTTCTCGTCGGTCGCCCCGAAGGCATTCAAAGCGGAGCGGCGACGGCCTCTCGCCAGCGACTCGTCCTGCGATGCGGACGACGAGTGCTTCGCGAGCGTCACAAGTTTGGTGACTCACGACACTGACGAAGGCAACGTCAACGCTACCGTCATCGAGACGTGCGCCTGCCAACCTCGTCAGCTGACTTGCTTCAGGTCAGAATTTCTCTCACAAAAATGAATGGGTTGTATTGGCTGAACAGAGACAGACTTTTAAACCAACAGCTTGAGCTGAGAGTAGACAGATACGTTCTTTATCCAGGCCGAACCCTATAGCTTACAAGGACAAAAGTTTGTTGCTATTGGGACAAGAAAAAAATCATTTCCCTAGGCGTTGTGTGGTCAGGGCTTTACCTGTAACTATGACTGCGCCTGAAACTATCACTAATCCGACCTTTTATAACACAGAGATTCTATTATGTTGTAATAAGACCTATGCAGTCAATTCAGGTTAACAGTGTGTATGATTATTCAAATTTATGTCAAAGTTCTAAATGAGTAATTTTGAGAGGAATTTTTAAATACTCCGCAATCAATATAGAAAGCGAAATCAATCAGCATTTTAGCTTTTAGCGAGATTAGGAAAATTTTACGATGAGCGAGTGCGATCTTGGGTAACCGAAATGGGTGATATTTATTTAGTACTTGCTACCCTGCAGGAGACCGGAGCGGGTGCGTTTAATTCATTACATTTAATTCATTACATTTAATTCATTAAATTCATGTTTAATTCATTACATTAAAGCGACCAAAATGGGTGTATTTTATTCTTTAATTCTTTAACTACTACCTTGCAGGCAACCGAAATGGGTGCGTTTTCACGAGGGCCGGGTTTCCGTTGCAGACGTCTGTTGACGTTGGCGAGTGTGCTGGTCCTTGCTCTCTTGATGGTAAATAAAATACAAGATAAAATATACAGGCTACCTGTTTAGGCAATATGGATATAAATAATACCTTGTTTAAACATTATTAGTGATGAAGTCATTCCTGGCTTTACTGGGGAGCGAAATATCGATTAAATAAAGACTCGCGAAAGCGAGCTTAAACTCTTGATCACGAGACCGGAAGCTGAACTCTATTAGCCTCAGTCCATTGCAATGAATAATTCGAGGGGGCGTCTTGTAAATAATTCGTGAGGGCATCTATATAAAATTAATATTAATGTTATGGATTACTGGATTCTTGGATCTCAATTATTGCCGTTTGATGCGTTTACACTGATGATTGATGATTGTTGATACTTATAAGTTCCTTCATAGAGATTACACAGATTATAATATTTTTTATATGTTGACAAGTTAAGTTTCTAATTGAGTCCCCCGAATCAGTTTGCATTATCTGGAATAAATAAATGAAAAAGATTTGTTATTTTTGCACGCGATTGTATGGTTGCAGAGGAAAACTTACGGTTCAATACTTACATAATTTCGCGACCATTGTGTTTTTGAACTTTACTCATTGAGATTGATTACAAGCTCTTATGATACGAGATTATGATAAGAGAATATGCTTTGCATTGCATAACTTGGCTTATAGAATATAATAGAATAGAAGTGTCGGCGTTGAAGAAATAGGCCCATGGCATGTTGCCGATTCTTGTAATTTTCGTGACTTGATTCACAAGGGATCAGGCCTTTGGAACCCGATCTTTCCATAGCTGACGATTGATTGAGATAGCTGCTGGACTTATTGCCTGGTCCATAATTTGCTAGGCATTTTAAGACTGAACATATGCTCCTGCATAGCTTCGTCTAGTCTGTTCTTGAAGATGTTCATACTCGGAGCGTCAACGATGCTATCAGGGAGGCTGTTCCACATGTCGGTGACTCGAAGCGAGAAGAAATGTTGATGTATAATAGTAGGATAGAAATTTTACTATCAGTTAGTTATCAGTTAAAAATATCAGATTTATTCTCAAGTGGCTTCGTTAAAACTTCATTGTCAGCAGTTTACTAGACTACTGTTATGAAAGGCATTCATTGCAAAAATGAATATTTACTTTTTTTAAGCAAGGAATGAAAAAGCTATAAATTTATTTTCAAACCACGTTAAAATGAAAGTAGAAACATTTATTTCTTTTTAATGCTAGCTAAGAGGAAAAGGAACATGAAATGTAATTTAAAAACATGATTAAATATAATGAAAAAGAGTTATATTGCTGCATTCGTCGAATATAATTTATTTATTTACATTGGAGCTGGTGAACGGGAAACATATAGCGGCGACCAGTACAGCAATTCTTATGTTAACTAATTATCATCCCAGCAGGCAATATCAGATTGAATCAACGTTGAAACGACGTACTTCGCAACTTTTAAATAACGTTGAATATTAGTCCAAAATGAGAAGTTAATAACCGTCATTTTCTTCAACACCATACATTTTGACCTAACCTAATGTAACATTTTATAAGTGTGCTTTTAACGTCAGAATTCAACGCTATTTCAACGCTGAAACAACATCGAAATGTACAACGTTGAAAAAATAACGTTGATTATGCCTTGATTTCGTTGAAGCAACGTTTAATTAGAGATATTCCAACGTTTTATTTCTCGTCGGTCGCCCCGAAGGCATTCAAAGCGGAGCGGCGACGGTCTCTCGCCAGCGACTCGTCCTGCGGCGCGGACGACGAATGCTCGCGAGCGTCACAAGTTTGGTGACTCACGACACTGACGAAGGCAACGTCAACGCTACCGTCACCGAGACGTGCGCCTGCGAACCTCGTCAGCTGACTTGCTTCAGGTCAGAATTTCACTCATAAAAATGAATGGGTTGTATTGGCCAAACAGTGACAGACTTTTAAACTAACAGCTTGAGCTGAGAGCGGACAGATACGTTCTTTATCCAGGCCGAACCCTAGCTTACAAGGACAAAAGTTTGTTGCTATTGGGACAAGAAAAAAGTCATTTCCCTGAGTGTTGTGTCTATAAAAGTTTGCATGAATATTCAAAATTATATCGAGGTTTTATAGTATGTAATTTTGAGAGAAAAATGCTCCAGAATTTTAAATACTCCGGAATCAATAAAGAAAGCGAAATCAATCAATATTTTAACGAGATTAAGAAATATTTACGATGAATCACGATTTAAATTTATTACTTAATTACTTACTTCATTAAATTTTACGATTTACATTACTTTCTACCCTGCAGGCGACCGAAATGGGTGCGTTTTCACGAGCGTCGCCCATTTCGTGCGTCGGAATGGGCAGAATTTCGTTGTCTGCCCTTTTCACGTGACTAACCATGCCAAATGTAGACAGAAGTTCGTTCAGCTGACGAACCGATGGGTTGTCAACGCGATCCAGTCGAACATTTAAATCAACGGTGATAAGGACATGATCTGGGAGTCACAAGTCTGGTGAAGAAAACGATCAATTCAACGAAAATATTTCGCCCCACAGCAACCGATCCAGGAAGATGGATGGTGACTGCAACGCTCGTAAACGAGGCGCAGGTGACCCTAGCACATAGCAGCTCAAAGGTGGTGAGTCGGGCGCCGATGTCAAGAATTGTGAGATGTACGCCCCTGATCGCCACGGTAGCTACTCCACCGTAATTAATCGCCCAGGTGTCGGGTTAACCGCGGGGACGCGCGCGCTCGACTACTTTGAGTCCTTCAGCTTGATGACGCGCTATTCAAACCAAGTCAGCATCGTGCCAGGTCTCGGTCAAGAAAACTAATGAGCTCGAGCGACAGACGCAGAGAAACAAGTCATCCATCTCACTCAGAGAACGGATGTTGAGGTAGCCGAACGATAACCGGCAACACAGCTTCACACAGTGTCAATCAAAACGAACGCTTAGCAGGTTTTAAAGCCTACCCGGCACCGGCCGAAGTTCAGCAGCAGTATTCGCAGACGTTGAGTTCATCAAAAATGCTTACCGTCGTAGCAGTGGCTTATCGCCACTCGCCAGTAATGACGAACACATCACTGGCAAAAGGCCATTGCATATACAAAGTCAATGAAATTTGCTGGTCTAGAACTTAGAGCCGGAGGCCATCCGCCATAGTAGGGTTGTGGCATGGTTGAACTAGTATATGGTTGACCCATCAGAAGACCATTTTTGCGGATGTTGTTCGCCTGTGTCATCACTGATCTCAATGACGTCACGGGCATTAACCAATCTCCGAAATTCGATCAAACCAGTCAACCAATCCGTCATGGGAAAGACAGGTTTGTTTACGTTTCTCGATCTCAGTGACGAAACAAGAAAACTGAACTGGAAGACGGAACTTCTCGTGGGTCAACCTTGTATAGTTCAACCATGGGTTGTGGGCTCTGAGATCGGCAAAATTTTGTTTTATTCAGCAACTAAATAAATTTCATTCATTTAAATTACCAAATGAGGCTGAATTTAAAAATTAAAAATATACAATATATATAATGATATCACTTTTTCAAATATTGCAGACTAAATTTCTTGTTGACTAGAAAGCGACTTCAAAGTTGTAGCATCCCTATTTTTGCAGCGCACATGTAATGGAACCGCTGCCGCTTTGAGCAGCAAAACCCAATATTTTAACCCTGTCGTAACTGCTACCGCCCTCCCACTTGCCAGTATGTTATAATGATTAGTGCAGCATTACTAACAGATGAGCATTAACAACCTTGGCCACTGCAAGCTTCATATCAGCAGACAACATCCATGTAGCATTTCTTCTGTATCTGTAAGCTTACAGGATGGCTTGTAATTTTGCACAATTTTAATTGTGTCGAGTGATTTTACTATAACAAAAAAGATTGTAATTTGTAAAAAAACATACCTGAAACAGGAAGGAATATTTCAGTGACAACCATCATATTTTTTGGAGAAATGAATCATAGTTTAGGACTTTAGGTTGTTATTTTTCATTCTTTGTTGCCCAGGCCAGTGCTCAATTCTATCTGTGACATTCTATGCACAATTTTGAGATGAACTGATGAGTGATGACTGATGCAGTAATTTTTTGTTAAGTGAAAATTTTTTCACTGATCAAGGTAAATGTAATCAAATTTCTTTGTTGTTAATTGATTTTTTCATTAACTGGAGCCTTTGCTAACCAAGGCTCTACTGTAAAATTCCATGGTCAGGAAGATGTGCCAGGTGCGCGGGAATTTATATTGTCATTTTAACGACCTGCGCGGTGCGCCGTCTACTATGCCGGTAAAAAAATGCGCCGTGCGCCGACAGCGCCGTACTTTTAGGAAGCTAAAATAGTTTAAATATGGACGCGCGGCACGGCGGCAATGCAAATTACGTAATCACACTGACCGTCAGTGTGGAAATCCAGAGGGGTAATATATTAACTGGTAAACATACCAGGTGTCATAGTGTGGCACGAGAGTCGTTGTAAAATTTATCTCAAGGTCATCTGGTCGTTGAACAACCGCATGCCAGTCGATAGTCGATAGGATTTATGCAGTCGATAGTCGATAGGTTTCTTCAGTAGTTTGATAACTTAACAATGAAAACACTAGTCGTTAATAATGAGATAACCTTAAGTCTATGTACATAATATTCTTTATAT